ATGGGGAAGCGCACATATAAGCCGTCCTCCATCAGACCTGCGTCCCTTTCATACACGTAATTGTCCTGAGAACGTCACTAAAAAGCAACAAGGACCACAACTGGGTCAAAATTCTGCAACTGCTCTCAGTAAACTCACACCAGTGTTTGACAATCTCTTAAGGAAGCCCTTCCGACTAATTGTGAAAGAGACACAATATGACCAATCTGGTCTACTGGACATTCGCTCTCCACAAAGGCAGACCGAGGAAACTCATGCACCCCGCAGGAAGGAAGGATCATTCTGTGCTGCACTGGATAAACGTTTACATGCATGACAAAGCACAGCTGAAGATGGTGAGACGCTACGTTACCCCGGAGGTAAAGGCTGCGGCCTCTCCCACGTGGTGGTTCGAGTGTTATGATCCACATAATAGGTTCTACCATGAGGATCTTTTCTCTGTTCCCACCTAAAATGCAAACATAAAAGTCAAAGATGACAAACCAAGACAACCTGAAAAACTACTCCTTATAATCCAGAAAATGACAGATATATTTTACTTTAAAATACCGTATTTATATACATATGGATATGTATATACAAACACACACACACAAAAGGAAGTTGTTTCTTTTCTCGATTATTAGTGCTTTTCACTTTTTTCCTTTTTCCTTTCTTAATACCAGTACTAGAAACTCGGTAAGTACAGTTAGCAGGGAGCACTGAGTAATGCCTGAATTTAAGTCACTAATTTAAGAACTCCAAATAATCACAAAACAGAAATTTAATCAAGGGTAAAGGAACTTTCAGCCTAATATCACTCCCAAAGCACAAAATGTCAATGAAGTAATATCCATTTTTGCCTGCTATTAAAAAAAAAATACACATCTGAAAGATTTTAGCAGAAATGGCCTTAAATCAGGAGGTGACACAGCTCTAGGACAATTCTTTCCTCTAGATGCAGAGTGCCTTCTTGTGCACGTCTACCCCTCTCTCATTTTGGTAAGTCTCTGAGTCTATGGGCATCTCAGTTTTATCTTTCTCTGTTTTATCTGAAGACTCTCAATCTCTCATTTTCCCCACTCTCATTTTTTCCTCTGTGATCCCTGTTTCTTCCTCTCTAAACTTTCCTTAAAATGGCATAGAAATTTTAAATATAAAAAATAAAAACCTGGTTTTTCTGAGTTTAACATTCTTGGTTCCAACTGAAAGCAGAAAAAGTGAAGAATATTTTCCTTTCTCTTAGACACAAGGATCCAATTTAATTTGACTTCTTTTTGATTAGAGGCCTTTAATTATTTTCCTACACAACGACCATACATATTGAAGTTTTTCCCTAAACAAGGTGTACACATATATACATACTTTAAATGGCATGCAAAAAATAATCATCCATTTAAGCCGCATCTAACATTAGTCACGAGATGTTTAAACAGTAACCATGAACAATGAAGGTGCCCAAGTTCACAGCTGACTTAGGATCACATAAACTATTAACCTTATCTATCACAAATCAGTGGTATAAAATCCTACACTGAAACACCCATGCTATCCTGTGCTACAAAAATCTAGATTTATAAGTATTTCACTAAAACTTGAAATTTCAGACTTACTTCCTTTGTTTTTATATAACAAAAAAGTTCATGGAAAGGTAGGATTTAAGGAATTTCATTTTAAAGACATTCAGGGAATACTTACCAACGGGCTACTGATTTGTATGAAAGCTTACTGGCCAAAAACAAATACCTACAAAGTGTATCAAGTTTCAAGAACTCCCTAATAACGATATCTTTGCTATTTTTAGGTATTAATTCCTACAATCAGTCGTTGAATTTGTATTGCTGTTCTCTATCAAAGTTTCCTGGTTTCAATCCTTCCTTAACAAGTACTCTTTACTGCTTTTAATTTAGGTTTGAATTTTTATCAAAATTACATATACGTCTTTTTCTCTTTTTAACAAGCTTGCTTTACTACTTGTTAAATTTCAAACATAATGTATTGATTTCTCACTATGGAAGATAAAGCTGTCTCTTTACTGCAAACATACACTCTGTAACTTGGACCCTCCTTCCAACAGCTCCAAATGCACTCGTACGCCATGTCCTTCCCTTACAATTTTTAGGGCTGTGTAAACCCTCCGACAGCTGAGCCATGGAACATAACATGATTTGTCTCTTTAACTGTCTCCTTTCCCCCCACTTTCTTATTTTCTATGTACTTCTTATTAATTTAACTCCAAATATTTTTTCCAGTTGCGTAAGTCTCTCAAAACATTCAAGCTCACTGGGTCTTTGATCAGTTGCACCTGCCTTCTGAGGAGCTACCAGTTCAGAGCCGCTGAGCGTGAGGGCTGCTCACATCTGCCACCAAGCTTCCCTTTCGTCAAAAAGAAACATAATCAAGAGCACCATCCATAAAATGAACTACGAAGCCCTTTTTTAGTTTCATCCTAAGTTAACCGCAAACATTTCTAATTTAACAGTCAATAAATACTCAGTAAGCACTCAGGTTCCAAGCATAATGCAAGCCACATGGTTCTTAGGTTTTCCACAACAAGGGGTCACTTTCAGATTTCAGTGTTTTCGTTCCAAAGAGAATTTATCTTCCTCAAACCAAACTGCTTGTTACACAGAACCTCATATTCAGAACTACTTTTGGATACCATCTTTGTAATTTTCTATGTTCGGTTCCCTAGATCAAGGGTAGGCAAACTTTTGCTGGGAAGTGCTAGATAGTAAGTATTTTAGGCCTTGTGGGCCAAAAGGCAACATCAAGAATGCCGTGCAGGCGCTTCCCGAATAAAAGCAAATCACACGGCCCCCCGCCCCCCGTGGTAGGGCGCCCCAGGCTGCAGGCCTGCTGTGTACCAGGCGGCCCTCTGCTGACAACGCTGCTGGCCACCAGGGGAGGGGCCTGGCCAGTTTCTCCATCTGCCCAGCGACTCTGGGGTCCCGCTGTGCTTCCTCTTCTCCCAGGCAGCTGGTGCACCAGGAAGCAGCTCACTGAGCTGTCACTCCCAGAGTGACAGTCTACTTGGTAGGGAACAACAGTCGCCAAGAATGAGTCCCTAAGGCCTGGGCGGTGACCAGAGCGGGATTTGGGCAGCGATGGGGGGGCAGTATAGGGACAAAGGGGTACACCCAGGCTTCGTCTGGGGGACTCACAGTGACAGCCCACAAGAGCTGTCCCCGTGGACCCTGTAACAGTGAGGGGCTGGAACTGGCCAGAGACTGGATTATCCCAGCATAGAAATTCATGAACACCCCCAAACAGGTGTAGGTACCAGGCCGACGGGCGAGACTTCTTAGTGGAGTTCTTCAATTTCATGGAGACACAGGCCGACGTGTAACTGCCGCCCCTCACCTTCAACCACGCTCCTCCCCTCTCCAGTGTCTAGACACAGTCTCCCTGTCTCACTAAGACACTGTGTATAAATCCCCAAAACCCACTGTGGAAGGATTCTGGTAAAGACATTACAATAAAAACAACAGAATTTAGTTACTAACTGGGTCACTACTGGTTTCAAATTTGGATAATGGGTAGATGTAAGACTTGCTTTCTCGTAAACCACGATCAACAGCTGCTGGGCCGTGCCGTGCGCTTGCTCCTCTCTCTCCTGGCTCCTGCCATCAGCAGCTGACCGCCTTCTATGTCAGTCCCATTTTTTAAAACAAAAGACTACTCCCCAGTTCCATATTTCTTCTTGCTCGCCTCTACCAAACATTCCTCTTTCCCTGTATGTTCCCAGGGAAAAAGCTCTACACCATCGTTCCCCCTCTTTCAAAGAGCTTTCTATCACACTTCCAACCCCACCCCCACCCCCTCCCCGGCCCATTCACTCCATCACAGAGCCGTCTGAATACAGCGCTATTTCCCAGAAACCACTTTGTCAAAGGTCAATAATGAATAATCTCTCTGTCATTAAGTTCAATGAGTGCCTTTCAATTCTCCTCTGACTTGAATTTTCAGGAGCTTTTGACCTTGTCAACCATTTCCTCAGAAGCATTTACCAGCCAGGGGCTTTGCTCACTGACTCAAAATCATTTAATCAAGCACTAATTTACTTATAAATATTTATTGAGTACCTGCTGTATGGAAGACAGCGTTTTAGGCATGAGGAATACAGAAATGGACTCAGTAAAGCCCCCTTTCAGTCTAGTGGAGAGAAACTGACAGTAACACACAAACATATGTATGTCACCTGGTGATTTAAATGTTATAAAGAAAAATAAAACAAGTAACATCATGCTGATTTAAAACAAAACAAAACCCTGAAGAGCTCATACCAATTTCATTTATGCTAAGTTCTATAACAGGGAAAACTAACTTATAATCTACTGCGGTGAAAAATTGGGACAGCGATGACTTATTCCCTAAAAGTAGGGACAGGGACTGAAACGGGGCTTGAGAGAACTTTCTGGGGTGATGATAATATTCTAATCTTGATAAGGGTTTGGGTGATTTGCATTTGTCAAAACTCATCAAAATGGTATATTTAAGACATGTGCATTTTCTTCTATGTACATTTTACCTAAAAATCTTTAAACAGATATTGAACTCTAGTTAATGATAGGCAAGCTGAAGTTTCGAGAGCCAAAATGTACTGATATCTGTGACTTACTGAATTATATTTAAAAATTAGACGAATGGAGAAATGAAGAGACAGGAGATAAAGCAAGCAGAGTAAAATGTCAGTTAGACACTGTGGTAGACAGATACAAGGGTGTTCACTGCAAAATTCTTTTACTTTTCCTGCATGCTTATAAATTTTCACAACAGAAGGTTGGAAAAAAATAAGGCCAGGTAAGAGGGATGGGGACAGACGGGCCTGATTTGGACAGAGGGAATCGGGAAAGGCCTCTGGAACCAGGTAACATTTGAGCAGAGACATGCAGATATGTGACGAACGGCATTCCACACAGAAGTCAGAGCAAGTGCAACGGCCTTTGGGTAAGATCGCGCTTGGTGTTAACGCTCAGTCGCCACCCTCAGGCTAGAATTCTCTTCCTTCACGACACCGGCGAAGTTACACTGAGTAACACTAAGCTACCAAAGAGAGGAAGCATAGGAACCAAGGAGATTTCTGAGGAAAGAGGGAAGATGTAGATCTGAAAACTGCTGACTCACATGGTTACAGAAGCCACGTGCTGCACTGGCCGGAGAGCCGAGCGCGGCTCCACACCCCCTTCCACTCCTCACGCCAGTGACCATCCCCCGGCCCAACGTCACCCGAGGAGACCAGCGCCCACCTTACTGCAGGCTCCTTCACTTCTCACCTGGATTAGCAGCTTCTAAACTTTTTGGGCAAGAGCTCACACAGTAAGAAATATATTTGACATAATCATCTCTGTGTGCGCCAGACTATTTACCCACAGATTTTATACAGACAAACACACCAGAAAAGGACTTCCCAGAAATAACTAGCACACTTACCTAACACATTTAGGTATTTTCTGCTCTATTCTATATTGACATACTTCACTATGTGTTGAAATGCTCGTCACAATCTATCAACAGGTTGCAACCTGGGATCTGAAAATCACTCATCTGGATTCCTACAAAATTCTCCTAACGCAAAAGACAGCATGCGGTGGCTACAGCCGTGGAGAAGTGTTTACCTGGTCCCACAGAATTAAGTTTAGGGACTTACCATTTCAAACGGGCACGCTGCTTCTCTCCTTCATAAAACACACACCTGGCTGCTGTCCTAGCTTGTCTCCTTAGCTCCTAGCCCACCTACACCACTGCTGGAACGATCTGCACTTAAGTGCAAATATGCCACTCCCCTGCTTAAAACTCCCAAGCCCTCAGCAGGCATACAAAATTCTCCACAGGACTCCTTTCCTTGCTTTCCTAAATGCTCAACTCAAGCTGTAACAAAATCCTATTTCCTGAGTTCAGTTTACTCGCTTTCTAAGGACGCCAGAGATCTGAACACGCAGTTAGCTCAACTGAGAATGAAACCTCTCACCACCTCTGCCTCCATGACTGCCTTGTTCATCCCTACTCCTCTTTCAGAAATCCGCTTAAGGGTCATTTCTTCCAGAAGGTATTCTTTATCTCAAGAGCGCAGGTTTCTCCCCACTACCTCCCTCTGTGTATGTTCCCTCCCACCGCGCCCTAAACTTCCCTCTGGCGCAGCCTTCACTGTACTGCAGTCACTCTTTACTTATCTTTACCCCCCACCAGATCACGAATGTGCTTGACAGTCAGAACAGCTTCTTATATACCTGAGTCACACTTGCAGACACATGAGACTAGGATAAATGACTAAGTTGCCAAAGACAGAAGACAAAGGGACAATGAGAAATTTTTCAGAGGGAAGGAAAGATACTGTAGGGCCCCAAATGACTGCAGGAAGCAAGCTGAGATTTCCAGTAAGTAGAGAAAAGGAAGTTCAGACAAAGGTCTGGCCTGGACAAATAGATTTCACAGCTAAAGTGATGGGGAGGGGGTGCAAGACTCAACAGGGGAGGCAGACGCAGGAGAAGACCAAAGGCTGAAATCACACCTGCGCAACAGGCAAACCCAGACGAGCCAGAGAAGAGCACTGAGAAACAACAGTTCAAACGTGAGGGGCGCATGGACACAGTGACTGTGATGAGACAAGGAGGGTGACGAGGTGGAGACCTTCAGAGCCGCACCTCCAGCAGCTACGAGAGTAGACGCTCTAACTGCTGTGAGCTGTGTACGACGCCGTGTGCACACCCCAATTCTATTACAGCATTTTCATGTTGGATTGTATATACGCTTAAAAATGAGCGACTAAATAAGCTTCCTGAAGGGAGAGACAATGAATCAATCATGTGAGTATCACCAGAGCCAAGTAAAGAGTCAAAAAAAAAAGACCTATTAATAAAACAGGACAGATGACCAAATGGAATACCCTTTAAAGACAAGCACAGGAAGCTGAGTAATTATAGTGGGAGATTTAAAGGAGATCCAGAATTACTGGGCAGCAGTGAAAACCCGAGTCCGTAACAGCACTAATCAGCAGGGCTAGGGGACTCTCCCCAGCACGCAGTACTCACTGCGAAGAAAGCCAGCTACCCGTTCCCTTGCCCGGGGAGCCAACAATAAAGGAAGCTAGGGAACCTGTGTGTGTCATTACGCACAGGGTCAGGGTCACTCTTAACTGAAAGTCAACCAAGAATCAAACCAGGAGGGCCTTGCAAATGATGTAAGGCACATACGGCACATACTAACTAGAAGAGCAATTGTTTATAGTTTTAAAAAATACTTGGCTTGTCGGTGGGGGGAGGGTATAGCTCAAGTGGTAGAGTGCATGCCTAGCATGCACAAGGTCCTGGGTTCAATCCCCAGTACCTGCTCTAAAAATAAATAAGTGAACCTAACTACCTCCCCCCTAAAATACTTCGTTTTTAGCAAATAAACAAATTCTATTTATCAGATTTCAACTTACCAAATGGAAATATATACATATTCAACAGTCACATATTATCAAAAAGTTGCTACTTAAATTAAATGTAAGTTGCCTATCTTTAAAAAAAGATTCAACTTACCCCGAGGGCAGAGTCTCTGTGCTGGCGTTTGCAGACTGCGGCCGCGTGGGTTCCACGCTCCCCTCTGGCTGTCTTAATTTGGCTGCTTCAGAAGCTGAGCTACTTCCAGAATTGGAGGTGGAAGGGTCTAACGCGCTTCTAGCCTCAGCTCCGAATGCTGCACCGTTAGGATGAATACATTCACTGTTTTCTGAGGAAGCCAGGATTTCCTGAACTGGAGGATCTTCGACAGCAGTGCTAATGCAATTTGACGACAAGGTGGTTTCTTCAGCCACTCCTGCGGTACCCGCGGTGGAAGCATCACCAGTTGGTGCAGATGAGGATGATTCTCCATTGACTGAAAAGGGAAAATTCATGAGATGATCTGTTAATATCAAGGAATGGCAAGGCAATCGACTAACTCATCAATTACACTTATTCAGACCCTAATTTACAAGGAGCAATGTATCAGGTACTGATGGAAATAAAGTAAAACAGATTTTTTTTGTGCTCACATTTTAGATGTGAATGTATAAATAATAAAAATTTAAGAATATACATACACACCAATAACCCTAACTTAACGAAAGAGAAATCAACTTTAAAATGCCAAATGTTTTTCTTCAAAATTATTCCGAAAATCTGCATGGGTTACATAAAAACTTTAAAATGACTCGTTTCAATCTCCCTTTCCATATGCAAATGTAGCTAATATCAAAAGAACTCTTGCCAATAGTGGGAAATACAACGTTGCATTAATTCTTAAGCTAGTCCTAGAGGAGAATGAAAAAAAAAAATCCAGGAACTCATTCTACACTTTCTAGAGGAACAGCCAGCACTGGGATCCAGTGACACAATTTCTGAATTTTCATTTTAAATGTGATTGATCCATTTCAACTACATGTCACTATAAAAGTGAGTCAAATTAAAACTGGAACGAGAATAGATTATTAAACAAAACTTATTAGAAAATTACATATTAAAGTTCTAAGCGAAATAGAGGAGGGAAATACAATTAAGAGTAATGGAATCTTCAGGTAGTTTTTTTTAGAAGAAAATGCTTTATTTTCTTAAAATTTTACAGTGTATTTATCAAAAATAAGAAAATATTGAATTTGAGTCCTCCTGATTAGAACTACACGAAAATGTTTTCTTTGTGATGTCTCAAGGCCAAAATAAAATGCAAGTGTTTGAAGATCTAGGTAAGACACTGCAGTGCAGAAATGATGATGGCCAAGGACCCGGCCATCTCCTAAGGGCTGTTATAGCCTTTTCTGAAAAGTCTCTCTAGAGTTGTTGAATCTATAACCAGTAACTTGGAAGAAACTCATTTCTTATGTGTCTAATGTACAAAAAGGAAAACGATTTAAAACGTTCTGTGATTTTTTTTTTGCTTTAGAATTGTTTGTTAAAGTAAAAATCAAAAAGAAATATATCGTAAATTAATTCTTCTGAATATATGTTCTCAGAGAAAGGAACTGGAATGCTAACCTACAAAACATCCATTCAAGAATTAAGTACTGTAATGCTGCACAGATACTCTAGATGGCAATTATTTTTAAATTACAGAGACTGAAGGTGATCACATTGTCTTGGATATTTTAACACAGAAGCATGAAACTCAAATATAGCTTTACTTAATGTGCATTTTTCCTCCTTGTTTATGAATTTTTCATCATATTCTTTTGACATTTGGTCTAATCCCTATTAGGCTTTTATATTACAGTATTTTTTTTTACATTCATAGACATTTGTGTCTGTTTTGATCAATACTTTAAATACATATATACAGCATACTGCACATTTTATTTTACATATATGTACTGATTATCGTTTCTAAGAACAGATTAGAGCGTTAGCTTTTTAAACTTAGTTATCAAAGGAATAAAGACAACTACAAAATAAGAATCAACAGAATGCGGTAATCCAATCATAAAGTTCAGTCAGATGTGCTTATACATATTCCAGAAATCAAAACGATAATTAGTTCATTTGTGTCCTTATTATGATTGTTATTATTTTTTAGATTCCTCATATAAATGATGTGATATGACATTTTTCTTTCTCTTTCTGGCTTACTTCACTTAGAATGACAATCTTCAGGTCCATCCATGTTGCTGCAAATGGCATGATTTTATTTATTTTTATGGCTGCATAGTATTCCATTATATATATGTATATGTACCACATCTTTATCCAGTCATCTGTTGATGGACATTTGTGTTGTTTCCATGTCTTGGCTACTGTAAATAGTGCTGCTATGAACACTGGGGCACAGGTGTCTTTTTGAATTTTATTTTTCTCCAGATACATGCCCAGGAGTGTGATTGCTGGATCACACGGGAAGTCTGTTTTCAGTGTTTTAAGCAACCTCCATTCTGTCCTCCACAGTGGCTGCACCAATCTACACTCCCACCAACAGTGTAGGAGGGTTCCCTTCTCTCCACACCCTCTCCAGAATCTATCATTTGTAGACTCTACAGTGATGGCCATTCTGGCTGGTGTGAGGTGATATCTCATTGTAGTTTTGATCTGCATTTCTCTGACAATTAGCGATGCTGAGCATTTTTTCATGTGTCTATTGGCCATTTGTATGTCTTCATTGGAGAACTGCTTGTTTAGGTCTTCTGCCCATTTTCAGATTGGGTTGTTTGTTTCTTTGATATTAAGGTGTATGAGCTGTTTATATATTTTGGAAATTACTCCCGTGTCAGTCACATCATTTGCAAATATTTTCTCCCATTCTGTAGGTTGTCGTTTCATTTTGTTGATGGTTTTCTTTGCTGTGCAAAAGCTTTTAAGGTTAATTAGGTCCCATTTGTTTATTTTTGCTTTTATTTCCATTACTCTAGAAGGATCCAAACAAGTATTGCCATGATTTACGTCAAAGACTGTTTTGCCTACGTTCCCCTCCAGGATGTTACAGTAATCGGTCTTACATTTAGGTCCTTAATCCACTTTGAGTTCACTTTTGTGTATGGTGTGAGGCAGTGTTTTAACTTCATTGATCTACATGTAGCTGTCCAGTTTTCCCAATACCAGTTGCTGAAGAGACTATCTTTTCTCCATTGTATATTCTCGCCTGCTTTGTTGAGGATTAATGGACTGTAGCTGTGCAGGGGATTTGTAGAGTGGAGAAAGAATTCTGTGTGCTACTGTGATGGTGGGTACATGGCAACATGCATTTCTCAAACCCCACAGAACCCATACAACACAATAATGACCCTTGATGTCAACTATGGACTTCAGTTAACAATGATACATTTATACTGGTTCATTAATTTCAACAGTATACCACAGCAATGCAAGACATGAATAGGGGAGATTCTAAGCTGGCTACGGGGAGCATGTATCTGACTGGAGGGATTACTATTCATACACAGTGGTTCTCACCGGGGGGCAAATTTGTCCTCCATCCCCCCAAAGACATTTAGCAACGTCTGGAGGTGTGTTTGTTTATCACAACTAGAGGAAAGGGATGATATTACTGGCATCTAGTAAGTACAGGCCAGGATGCTGCTATTATCCTAAAACGCACAGAAAGCCACCCATAACAGAGAATTATTTGGCCCAAAATGTCAACAGTGCTGAAGCTGAGAAACTCAGGGTGATGTGTACGTGCCCAGACACGAGGCAGTGTCCAGTCTACAGGAGCTGCAAAATAAACACCTGTTAACAATGACAAAAAAGACAAGATAGACAGGGAAGGAAGGGAAGGAGAAGGGGGTCACAGGTTCCTTGCTCATGAAAGAATACAGAGAATTACACTAAGCAAGTAACTGAAATCTTACGTGACGGGAATGACAGCAGAAGCTTATGCAAAGCATTTCCTTCTCTACAGACAGACGACCACATCCACTGACTTGGCTTCTTAATGAATCTATCTCAAGCCTTACTTTCAGCCATTACGACTTTTGGGTTACAAGACAGACCTCCTTCATTTCACATTTAGTCCTTGAGAAGTAAGTTTCCCATGGACTTTATGACACACACATCTCATAGCGCCGTGCATTTGTACTCTCACAATTCACCCAAATAAAGTAGAAAAAGGTGGAAATATTGAAGACTCTGAGTATCATTTTTACTCTTTTTTAAAAAGTATGACATACACACTAAGGTTCTTTAAAAGTCAATTCACTCTTGAAAGTGGCTGCAGCTTTGAAGGAGGTAGAGAGCCAGGGAGCCTCTGGTAATGGCGTAGTTCTGTATCCTGACTGCAGTGCTAGTAGCTACGTGAAGCCACACATGAAAACTGCACAGAAACACACACACACACACAACACAGGTGTAACTGATGACGTGTGGATTGTGTCGATGTCAATTTCCTGATTTTGACATTGTGCTATAGTTATACAAGACGTCAACATTGGCGTAGACTGAGAAGGGAGCATGGGACCTACCTGCACATTTCTTGGCAACTTTCTGTAAATCTGTATTTCAAAATAAAAAGCTAAAAGCAAAAGTCTAATGAACTTGTGAAATGTTAATTCTGCCTGAAACTTACCATACTGAGCTCTGATCCACTTTACTAACAGAACAATAATTATACATTAGCAATAGTCATTTCACACTAGAAGTTAAGGGTGAGAGGTGGAAAGTAGAAAAGAAAATTATATTTTTCTTAAATAGCACTGTCCTAGGTGGTAGGTGTTTTAAATTTATTATCTCATTTAAGCTTCAAAAAAAACCTATAAGGCATTATTGAGTATTAGTCTCTTTTTATAAATGGAGAACCTAAAATTTCAGGATGTTAAATTTATCCAAGGTCACATGGTTAAAACAGTAAGAGGAGGAGCTGGGATTAAACCTAGTCCTGTTAGAAGCCAAATCTAATCTTTTCAGTCATGACTGCCTCCCATCTTAGCTTAGAACAAGTACCAATATTTACTTACTAAACTTGTTAAACGGATCCTCCGAAGCCTCAAAAGAACAGGACGGGGAAATGCACCCTACGCTCTGCTGCCCCCAACCCGCCCCGCCCCCGCCCTGCCAAAAGCCCTTACGTTTGACAACGTCTCTGGTGAAAAGAAGTCATTTGTCTTAAACTCCTTAGCACAGGCCCACAGTCCCTTATCTGGAAACTTTTGGGCCCAAGTGCATTCCAGAATTCCTAACCTTCCAGAATTTACAAAGGTAACATGGCATGCATACTATTACACTCACACTGAGCAGGACTGGGCGCTACACACCGAAATTAAACACAGTATTACTTCTGCAGCAAAATGCAGGGATTCTCGTAGTAAGTATGATAAATACCCTCAGGTCAGTCCTAGTCATTTTGCCATCAAATGAGTTTATCAAAATGAGTTTTGGTTTTAAAGATTTTAGGATTCTGGAATCACAAGGAAGGGATTAAACATGTAAGGTGTCATACATAGAATATGCACACTCCCACCCCATCACCATCCCAACAATGAAAACTGATTTTTAAAGTTCTTTAGAAAAAGGAGTATCAGTTTTGTGCCAGCACCTTAAAGGGGATAACCCCACCCCTTGAAAAGATACCTGAATCCATCCTCCTACTGAGCAATGACAAATCATACAGTGACACTGGTGAAGTGGTTGCTACCAACACAGTAGGTTCTGGAAGCCTTTGTAAACCAGCCAATGGAATGGTGGCAGTTGGACTGTTTTATCAGATGTGACCAATGATAATCAGAGAACATGCAAACACAATCACGGAGCTGACTGGGAGAATGTCACTTAAAGCTTATTGTGGTATAAAAGATGGACAACTTTGAGACACTAAAAATCACACGCACCCAAATGAACAGGACAGCAGAGAGCTGAACGCCAGCGAGCTGGCTGTCAGTCACAGCCCCTCCTCTCCTAGCTGGGCTCTCTCTGTGCCTCAGTTCCTCCCGGAGACAAAGAGAAAAATACTAGCACCCATCTCAAAGAGCTATTTTGAGAGTTAGATCAGTAAATGGATATAGTGTTTAGAATATGCATAGCACAAATGTTAGCTCTTACTATTATTCCAATTGTCTTAGGTTTCATTGCACTTATTGTGAATGTCATGGGAATTACGTTCCACGGAGCCTTTATTTCTAGTCCCTCATGTGTGTATTTTTAAATAATCTAGAAAAATTCAAATATTATGAAAAACTGCACTGTAATCTTTGCATTTCTATCATAGAATGGAAGATTTTAAAAGACTGTAAAGTAAGCGTAGATATAGTTACATAAAATTTAACAATGAGTCACAAAGGGCCATGCTTACCAGTGTCATTGGCAGGCTCAGATGTGAGTGGTTTTGGAGCTGGTGTGTTTTTGGGTCTGGCAGCAACCTGAGATGGAGATGAGGGTGCGCTGTCTCCATTAACTACGTATGAACAGCATGAGTTTTGTACCACAGTGCTTGTAGGTACATGATTATCTATTCCATTAGTCCCCTCAGCGGCCAACCTTTAAAAAAAAAAGAAAGACACCTTACTTCAATGAATTAAGTACAATTAAATAGCTTTTCATTAGAAGTTTCATATATCGAGTTCGTAACGTTCAAGCAAAGTGACAGGTACAGAGTAATGAACAAAAGATACTTTCATTACACTTTTTACATTTTATTTTTTACATCTTACATTTTACTACATTTTTATTACATTAAAGTTTAAATTACTTTCAGTTCGAAGTGTATCCACATTGTCATACATATGTACATTGAGGTATATAAAAATACTAAGTCAAAATGAAGCAATGACCAAATTGTACATTTAAAATATTTGTCTAAGAATATTAACATTTATTTTTAAATGCTCTGAAAGTATTTTCAAAAAGATCATAAAACTTATAAAAATCAATTCCTAAGTATTGGAATTTTACTGAACACTGGAAAATAAGACAAAAAAAAGTCTTTGACTATTGAGTGCAAGTTATGAACCAGCACTAAAATAATGAGCACTTGTTGATCAGAAAAAGCTAAAAATCACATCCCTGAGTTAGAACTTACAGTGTTTATATTACTGCAAATAAACAAATAAATACATCTACAACTACAAAATCAAACATTTTAAATCTTGGCAGTGGAAAAGGAGCTAGGTGATACTCATGTAAGTGATCAGGCAACCTTTTCCAAACACACAGGCTGCCTTGTACCTGTTCTCTACAGAGTAGCCTTCATTAAAAAAAAATACATATAAATCAGACCACATCTCAGTCCTGCCCCACCCCTCCATCTCTATATCTAGTTCTTTCTCTCCAAGCTCCTCTTTGCTCACCTTGCAGCAGATATACTAATATATCAATTTTATTGTATATGAAAAACACGGTAAGTCTTCAACTTTATTACAAATTATTACATACAGGGAGTAAAATTATAGTGACTCACAAGATTATCCAAAAAAAGGGTTAAATATTATATTCTAGAGGTAGAATTTACAGAGCATAAATTAACTAGAAATACACTCAAGGTCTTGTCACTTGCTAATTCCTCTGCCTGGGTTCCTCCCTCAGAACTCTGCATGGATGGTGTATTTTTGACTTTTTAAGTTTAGCTTGATGGCACTTCCTCAGAGATGATTCTCTGACATTTCTCTTTAAAACAGGCCACTCCTGTCACCTGTCCTGTGTTCCAATGACTCCACAGTTCTGATCCCTGTCTCTGACTAGTTAGTTTAGTTCTTCACTTGTTTACCATTTCCCTCTATCCCACCAGAATGAAAACTTCACAGGAACAGGACCGATATTCTTAGTGCTTGGACTAGTGTCCGGCATCAAAAAGGCACTCACTAAGCACCTGACGGATAAACGAATGAATGAATGCCACACTCCCTTCCCCTGTCACCTATACATTTGGATGAGATATGTCTAGGAACTCAGACAGATAAAGTCTTAAAAAGGCTCCCAAGCGATTCTGATTTGTACACCCTTCCCCAAGCCACCCAGCAAGAGTCAGTGATCACGGAGTCCAAATAAAAGAACCGGACTGAAGTCTTCGTGGTGCTGCAGAATTAATTTTTGATTCAAAATATATTACTATGCAATAAATAATACTAGGTTTTAGGTTTTAGTCTGGTAGTGATTTAAGCTCCTTTATCCATCTAAAATTGTATTTCAAAAATTATAAAAACAGATATACACACACGCTAATACATTTTAATCTACCTAATTGTACCCTTTCAGTTAATTTTCTCAATGTAAATTATAATATAGACACTAAATAAATACATATATTTAACCCAAACATATATTCAGAAGACATACTTACCTGTTCAAGTGCTCTATGAAAATCAGTTAATGGTGATTTAGGAATAATGACATTAGTAACTTTTGATTAATAAAAGTCATACTGTCATATACCAACATGCTCTTTCAAATGTAACAAGTCAATTTCACAGGAACATATTTTCAGGTGTTCATTCCATTATGTTTGGTCTACTACGTGCGTTCATTCTAATTTAATCACTTCAAACAGAAGTCTACTAATTGTTATCAAATGTGAATGCACAGGCGGCGCTGAGATGGCAGACTGCCCTCTAAGGAGGGGGGGTGTAATCCGCGCAACATCTACCTCGCGGTGATGACAGGAAGCTGCCAACTCAGACAGCAATAAGATAACCATTTCCCCACACTGTCTGCCTCCGTTTACTGATAAAGTATGCCCAAGTACAGATTCTAAAAAGCCATTTCCAGTAAAGAAAAGAATGAAGTACTGACACTCGCTACAACAGGGAGGAACCTTATTCTAAGGAAAAGAAGCCAGTAACAGAAGGTCACATATTATACGATACCATTTACAAGAAACGGTTAGAACAGGCAAATCTATTGAGACAGAAAGCAGATTACTGGCTGCCAGGCGCTGGAGGGAAAGAGGGATGGAAAGCGGTTGTTCATGGTACAGTTTCTTTCTGAGGATGACGAGAATGTTTTGAAATCAGATAGTGGTGATGGTTACACAACTCTGTGTTATACTAAAAACCACTGAAATATATACTTTACTCTTATGATATGTATATTATATCTCAATAAAGTCATTATTAAAAAAAAATTCTGGTAAGAATTCAACCAAACGGCATGCTTAGATGTAAGCTTTTAAATTCTACGGCAAACAACTGAGGTTAAAATTTTAAACTTCATATATGGAAAATGTTACATTACTTTGCCACAAATACTAAAATAAAATATTCTACCTGGTGGCTGTCCTTGCTGAAGGCTCTCCATTTTCATGTAAGGCATCACCATTTTGCTGTATTTCTACTGAATGACAAAAAAGAAAGAAACTAGATTTTTATATACTTCTTGCTGGTTTTTTTCCTTCAAATTCTAAAAACACATAAAGTCAGCTTACTGGCTGGAGATGAGCTGCAGTTTGTTACATTTTCTTGCTCGATCACCAGTCCATCGAGCACAACGGTTAATTCACCAGTTTGCACTAAACCATTCTTGGTTTCCAAGGAAAGTTTTAATTGTTCTTTCACTCTTTCCACTAGGAAAAAAAAATCCTAATTTAAAAGCTTTGTCACGTACAGAAATATGTTTTAGAAATCAAAACTACTTATCAAGAATTACTGTATTTCAGTGCTTGCTGGCTACTCATGGAAGGAATTATTTGTTTGAAATCAGAAGATCTTTTCATACCACCCCAGGATCACATCCTTTACACCCAGCTGAGTAACTCCTCCCTCCACCACACACTCCCAGTGTCATCTTTAACTGCTCCTTTGCACAGTATAAACCTCAGAGAACATACAAATGCATCAAGACAGTACAGCAACCATGTAAACTTCCTCTCTGGCCCGAGGTACCACATAGGACTTGTGGTTAAGCCAAAATTTCTGCATGAGAGTCAGGGGGCTTGGTTACTAATTCCAGCTCAGGAACTTCGGCTGTACTTTGAGTAAGCGGTCAAACTCCTTAAAGCCTCAGTTTCCTCATCTACTCCATAAAATAAAGATAATAAAAAGCTTCAAACTAAAGGAACTGTCATAAGGTCCAAATGCAGAACCACACAGGAAGTTCTTAGCATCACATCCGATACACAGTTAGTGCTCAATAAGTGATTATATATATATATATATA